TACGAATAATTTTTGTGTTTTTAAAATCAACTATTATTTTTACCAACTCTTCTTCCGGTATCTAAAGTAATTCTGGCATATTCCAGTTATACTCCCGTGGCATTTTCTTTTCTTCGGGAACTTTTTCTTCTTCTTTTTCTTCTTCAGGATTATATGAATTACAGAATGGATGTTCAACATGTTCATTCACAGTCGTAACTTCCTCCTCATTATCATCAACAACATCTTCCTCGGCAACGGTTGTTTCATCATCAAAATTCGGGTATTGACCAATATCAAAATCATTACACGCAGGGTCTGTTTCTTCTTCTGAAACATCATCAAAATCCGAGTATTAACCAAGATCAAAGTCCGGGTATTGACCAAGATCAAATTTTGAATACCGACTAGTACTCACAATTTTTTCTGTTGGCTCATCATCGTCTAACTGGTTAATACGAAAACCGAAATTTGATGCTGAAAGTTGATAGGGATTTGGATTAGGGAAAGGTTGTGGGTTTTGAGATTGTGTTTGGTATTGGAAATGTGGTGAAACAAAATTTGTTTGGTGATGAAATTATGGTGGAACCATTAAATTTTGAGCACCATAAACTGGGGTTGAAAAACTTAGTTGATTACTACCCGCTACTGACCCAACTTCACTACTTCTAGGTTCAACAACATAAAATGTAACATCATCTTGCGAAACACTAATGTAAGCAATGAATCGTTCAACATCTTCATTGTCGGTTAACAAATAAACTTTACCTTTTCTCTGATAAGATAACCTAAATCTACTTAAGGGCTCTAAATTCAATTTATTTACAACACGTAACATTAGAGTTTCATAAGTTAACTTTTTTAATGACAGTTTTAGTTGAAGATTCATGGGTAAAGGCATATATTGTAAAACACCATGAACATTCTCCCATGACCCTCCAAAATACAAATCTATCCAAACATGATCAACATTAGATGATTTCATTATTGTAAATTAATTTACTAAACAAACGAGCTGCGAAACTAAAACATGTTGCCGGATGGGGAAGGATGTCGTTGGATATAGGAACGGATGTCGCCGGAGAGAGTGATAGATGGAGATGGAATGAGTTGTGATTTAGGGATTTAGGTTATGAGTTGCTTCTGCTGCGTAGTTATATACATACCCAAAACATTTGTGTTGCGAAACTAAAACCTGTTGCGAATTTGAAATTCAGTGTTGCGACAGTCAGAATCGCGTTGCGATAGTCAGAATCTCGTTGCAATAGTCAGAATCGCGTTGCGATAGTCATAATCGCATTGCGATTTACATATTCGCATTGCGATAGTCGGAAAATCGCAACGCGAATTTGGAAAATCGCAATGCGATAGTCAGAATCGCGTTGCGAATCTGGAAACTGATTTGCGATACCGGAGATCGCGTTGCGAATTATCGATCGCATTGCGATTTAGTTGGTCATTTTGGCAAATCCAAAAAAAAGTTGGTTAAAATTGTATATTATAAGGCATTTTTAGTCACTGAGATTATTTTCTCTTTCATAAATCATATCTAGAATTTTTAATCTTCCATGAAAAAAAAATATTTTTTTACCATTGAAACTATTCAATAGATCGCATCATAATTGATTAAGTACTCTTTCTATATTATAAAATAATTAATTAGACTGTATCAAGTGTCAATTAAACATCAGTCCAATTGAAAAATTATTACATTTTTATATTATTTTTAATGAAACAAATTAAAAATATTATATTTTAATAATTGGATATAAAATCAATTGATTCGTATAAAAATTTCATATCATTCCACTAATTTAATAATTCTTGGAATAAAATTTTTAATTTTTAATTTACGATAGAATATAAACCGAAAGAACGAGGTTTATCCAGCTCGATTAAAAAATTTGATAATGCAAAATAAAAATACTTTATGTAAATAATATAAAAGTATAAAAGAAAGAAAATAAATAAAAGACAATTTATTAGGTTGGAAAGAAGCCATCGTTTCCACGTGTTGAGAAGACGAAGAAATTCTTCATTAAAGTTTATGATTTTGTCCCACGTTTGAATCCAATTTGATTTTTTGTCTTCTTTTTTCTCTTGGATTCTCTCAATTATGAATTCGCCCAAACCCCTTTACCATATTATTCCTTCTACAATAATGAATTTTACTTCATTTATTCACAAAATGAGCTTTTGAGTCGTATTTCAACTAAATAGTAATATCAAAGTTATAGGCTATAGCTGAGGAAACTCTATCCCCGAGAGTTCAGAGAACCGGTACGCCGGACGTGCAGATTTATCCTTCCCTGGAGAGACCGGGATCCCCTTCTCTGAAGGAGGGGCAACAAAGAAAGTCAAGAACAAAGAGAAAGAACCAGTTATCGAAGGAAACGTAACTGACATATGCATGCAGGACGGTGAAGACGAACAGGAGAAGTATGAAAGAAATCAGGAAATCACAAGAACCCTGGCAAACTGACCTATGCGGCCATGGCTGCCAATGGAACTGGAAGTGGCAAGAGTTCTCATATTAATAACCACGAGGAGGATATTGTTTTTCAAGAAGGGGATGTCAAGATTGACAGCTATGGAGATTACCCAAGAATTTCCTTCTCCAACAGGATTCATGATCTGATTGCTAGGAATATGAATCAAGTGGTTATCAGAAGATTGTTTGGGAAGAAGATAGGCTACAAAGCGCTTCCCAACAGAATCACTACGCTGTGAAAACCGGTGGGAAGTTTCAACCTCATCGATCTTGACAACGATTACTTCTTGGTTAAGTTCGAAAATCTTGAGGATTACTCCAGAGTTCTAACCGATGGCTCTTGGACAATATACGGGAGTTACTTGACAGTTCAACCCTGGTCAAGAAAGTTCTCTACTTCCGAGAATTATCCTTCGCAGGTCATCGCTTGGTTACGCCTTCCAGGGCTTCCATATACATATAACTCCAAGATGTTGATTAGAACCATCGCCAACACCATTGGACGTCAAAGTCGATTACAATACTTACGCTGGGGAAAGAGGCAGGTTTACCAGAATAGCGGTTGTGATCGACCTGAACAAGCCACTTATCCCTTGCTTGGGTATTGATGTTTTCATCCAAAGGATAGAGTACGAAGGCCTCCAACAGATTTGCTTCGGATGTGGAATATACGGTCATGCTAAGGAGGTTTGGACTGTCAACCAGCACGAGACCACTGAGAATGATATTGGTAACAAGACTCAGGAAAAAACAACTGAGACAACCTAACAGTGACATCCCTTTCGGGCCTTGGATGGTGGTGCAACCTAGACAGAGGAAAGGGATAGTTCAGAAAGAGACTCCGAAACCCAGTGAGGAAGGAAGTATCCCTATCCAGGAATCTCGTTTTGCTCCGCTGCTGAATAGTGGAGACAATGAGGCTTCTCAGGGTCAAAGTTCAAAGGATTTTATTGAGCTGGACAAAGAGGAAAGTGGCCTTGTCGATGTTCCCATAGTAGCTCAAATTCTTGAGAACCCTACTAGTACGTACCAGACTGGAGAAATGCAGGTTGAAGCCAGTAATATGGCGCAGGTGAATGAACATATCCCGAACATTGGAAAGGGTTCCCACACAGCGATCTCGATAAGAGAAAATAGCCAAACTCTTAGTCAAGCTCAGAGATGGAGAATCAACAAGCGTGGTAACTCTAACCCTAGGATCTCTAATAAGAGCTTAAAAGTTGTAAAACCCAGTGAACTAAAGACTCCGAACGTCCCGCTTCTATCCAAGTGGATCCATAACATCTCAACCACGACTAATAATTTGGCTCCCCCGGACAGAACCGAACAAATCACCTTACGTGATCAGTGTACCATGGAACTGGTGCCAACAGAGACGCCTGACTGCGTGTTGTCTGGACTGGGGTCCACGACGGAACTAATCCTATTTGATTATGGACTTCATGTTCAGGAAAACCCAGGGGGTTGTCAAACCCTCCTTTAAAAGATATTTTCAAGAGTTTGTTAATATGCACAAGCCTAGAGTTGTTGCCTTGTTCGAGACTCATACTAGCGGGGGGAAAGCTGACAAAGTGGTCAACCTGCTTGGCTTTGATAATTCATTCAGAGTTGAAGTCAATGGTTTCAAGAGTGGCATCTGGATCCTTTGGGATAAGTCAGTTGATGTAAAATTATTACAGGTCTCCAGCCAGTATGTCCATGGTAGTTTTAAAGACCACAATAGCCTTCATTGGAATTTCTTTACGGCTGCCTAGGCAAGCCCGCACATCTCTATCCGGAGAAACTTGTGGAACCTCCTTTCCAAGCTGAAAACTCAAAGAAATGAGCCGTGGAGGTGACTTTAACTGCATTCTGAGACCTGAAGATAGATTTGGTGGGAGTAGGCTTAACAGAGGGTGCAGCAGGTTGATACAGGATTTTGTTTTTGATAATGGTCTTCTAGATATCTACTACCAAGGGCAAGAGTTTACGTGGCGTAGGGGAAACCTTTGGCAACGCCTCGACCGGTGTCTCATGAATGATAAATGGATGGAAACTTACCCGGATACCAGAGTTACTCACATTGACCGTTTAGGGTCTGATCATAGCCCAATCCTTCTCCAAAGAAAGAGGAACAGCAATCACAATAAAGAAAAACCCTTCCGTTTCCTGGCTTCTCGAATGGATCACCTGGATTTTTAGAACTTTCTGAAGACGAATTGGGATGTGAACGATAGTATGGAGTCATTATCTTAAGAAATTGAACCGAGAGACTTTTGGTTCCATTAACCAGAGGAAAAAGCGCATCCAAGCCCGTCTCAGAGGTATTGACAAGGCGCAACGCCGGTACAGTTCTACTACCCTTTCTGATCTTGAGAGAGCTGAGAACGGAGTTAGACACCATCTTACGGCAGGAAGAACTCCTCTGGGCGCAAAGAGCCAGGTGCGAGTGGATCGAGCATGGAGATAGGAATACGAGATATTTCCACATGTGTTCTGTAGCCAAACACAGGAGGAAATTGATTACTAAACTTAGACTGCCCTCTGGGCAATGGTGTTCGGATCAGGAGACTCTGAAAACCATACTAGAAATTTCTACGAGAAGCTGTTTACTAGTGAGCTCAATAATCCTCAACCGTACGAGTCTCGTGGTCTTTTCCCTAGTCTTACTAGTGTTCAGCTTAATACTCTTAGCAGGCCCTTCAGTAATGAGGAGATCAAAGGCGCGCTCTTCAGTATGGGGGCCTTGAAAGCCTCGGGGTTAGATGGCATTCATGCGAGCTTGTATCATAGAAACTGGGAGACTGTAGGGGGTAATGTTTGTCGCCTTGTGAAGCATGTTCTTGAAGGTGGTACCATGGAGGAGTCCTTAAACAGTACTTTACTCGTTCTGCTTCCCAAAGTGGATAACCCTGAAACCATTACGCAGTTTAGGCCTATCAGCCTCTGCTTGGTGCTCTACAAGATCATCACTAAAGTGATTGTCAACAGAATCAAGCCGATCCTGCCTGAGCTTGTTTCTAAATGCCAAACAAGTTTTATTCCCGGACGTTCGATTATTGATAATATTGTGTTAGCCCAAGAACTTGTCCACTCCATGCGGGTGAAAAAAAGGGAGGAAAGGGTGGATGGCCATCAAAATATGTTAGGAAATAAACCGAGTACAAGTAATTTCCCTATAACCAGATTAGTGAGAATACGAAATAAAAGCGGAAAAATAATACCCGAAAATTGATAACGGAGTTCAACCAATTGTGCTTACGTCTCCGGCTGCTGCAGATCTTTTACTAAGAGAGAAAATTTACAGGTGTTTACAAAACACTCACTACTCACAATAAAACTCTCTAGTATAGGAAGAAAGAAATGTTTTGGGATGATTTTGAAGCTAAATGAGCTAGGGTATTTATAGTTGAAACTTAGGACTAAACTTGTAATTAACCCTAAAGTGCAAAGGGACTAAAAACCACATTCCCCATTTTGTTTTAGCAGCCGGCTGCTACTTAGCAGTCCAACTTGTTCTTTTTTTTTAATTTTCAACAATCTTCCACTTGAAGACTGATTTTAATCCGTCTTCATACCTCGATCGATGCAGCAGCATTTCTGGTATTGTTATTCTAGCATGCCAACTGAAGCTGGACACAAATTCAGTTTGTCCGTGGTCACCGTCTTTGTTAACATATCTGCCGGATTTTGAGCTCCACTGATCTTTTCAAGTTTCAAAATCCCATCTTCCAGAAGAGACCGGATAAAATGATATCTCAATTGTATGTGCTTCGTCCTAGAATGAAAAGACGGATTCTTTGCTAGATGGATAGCACTTTGACTGTCGCAATACAAGACATTGTTTTCTTGTTTCTTGCCTAACTCTTCCAAGAAACTTTGGAGCCAGACCATCTCCTTGCTGGCTTTCGTAACAGCGACATATTCTGCTTCGGTTGTGGAGAGAGCAACTATCTTCTGTAGTTGAGAAACCCAACTCACTGCAGTTCCTCCTAGAGTATAGACATACCATGTAGTGCTCCTTCTGATGTCAACATTTTCGGCTAAGTCAACATCTACATAGCATGTCAGTATCGTATCTCCACCTTTGAAACAAAGTGCTTTGTTTGTGGTACCTCGCAGATATCTGAGGATCCATTTGACTGCTTCCCAGTGTACTTTGCCTGGATTATTCATGTACCTGCTAACAGCTCCCACTACTTGAGCAATATCTGGTCTGGTACAAACCATGGCATACATCAGACTTCCAATTGCTAAGGCATACGGGACCTTCACCATGTGTGCACGTTCTTCCTCCGTCTTTGGTGACTGTTCTTTGGAGAGTCTGAAATGAACACCTAAAGGTGTACTTACTGGTTTAGCATCTTGCATGTTGAACCTGGAGAGTATTTTGTTGATGTACTCAGCCTGTGATAACATCAAAGTCCCCGACTTTGTGTCTCTCTTGATCCTCATCCCAAGAATCTGCTTTGCAGCGCCCAGATCCTTCATAGCAAACTGCTTCGACAATTTTTGCTTCAAATGTATAATCTCTTGCATGTCTGAGCCTGCAACGAGCATGTCATCAACGTACAATAATAAAATAATGAAGCTGTTGTCGAACCTCTTGATGTAGTAACAATGATCTGCTTGGCATCTGATAAAACCACTGCTACTCATGAAGCTATCGAACTTCTTGTACCACTGTCTAGGAGCTTGTTTTAAACCATACAAGCTCTTCTTCAACCTGCATACCAGGTTTTTCTTGTATGCCTCTATGAAGCCTTCTGGCTGCCTCATATAGATTTCTTCCTCCAAATCACCATAAAGGAAAGCTGTCTTTACATCTAACTGCTCAAGATGTAAATTCTCTACAGCTACAATTTTCAACACCAGTTTGATTGTAGACAATTTTACGACTGGAGAGAAAATTTCATTGTAGTCAATACCTTCTTTTTGCTGAAAGCCTTTGACAACCAATCTTGCTTTGTATCATTTGCTCCCATCGTGCTCTTCTTTGATTCTGTAAATCCACTTGTTGTGGAGTGCTTTCTTGCCTGGTGGTAATTCAGCTAATTCCCACGTCTGATTTGACATAAGCGAATCCATCTCATCTTTCATGGAAGACTCCCACTTGACCGAATCCTCCACTTGCATTGCTTCATCATAGCACTCTGGTTCACCATTGTCAGTCAACAACAAGTAGTGCAAAGAAGGAGAATACCGTTGGGTTGGTTTAGGAATTCTGGAGGAGCGTCTTAGTTCCGGTGTGCATGGTTCTTCTTGAACTGCTTCAGGATTGATCTGAACATCATTTCCAGAAATCTCCTCGAACTCGGCAAATTCCTTTGTTTCAGCTTCGATGTTGGAGCTACTTGATTCTACGGTTGACATGTCTTTGTACATCACATTCTCATTGAAAATGACGTCTCTGCTTCTGATGATCTTCCGATTTTCGTAGTCCCAAAACCGGTAACTGAACTCATCACCGCCATAACCAACAAAGACACATTTGTTGGAATTAGCATCAAGTTTGCTTCTTTCAGCAGAGTTTATGTGTACATAAGAAATACAACCAAACACTCTTAAGTGTGAAAGGTTTATATCTTTCTTGCTCCAAGCTTCCTCTGGTATTCCACCATCCAAAGGAACTGAGGGCCCACAGTTGATCAGGTAAGCTGCAGTGTTGATAGCTTCAGCCCATAGAAATTTGGGCAATCCGACATGTATCCTCATACTTCTGGCACGTTCATTCAGAGTTCTGTTCATGCGCTCTGCTACGCCATTTTGCTACGGTGTCTTGGGAACTGTTGTCTCCATCTTGATCTCATTGTTTGCGCAGAAATCTCTGAATCTATTGTCTCTGTACTCTCCTCCATTGTCAGACCTCAAACGCTTGACTTTCAAACCAGTCTCATTTTCCACCATGGCCTTCCAATTTCTAAAGGTATCAAACACTTCTGATTTATTCTTCAGAAAATAAACCCACACCTTCCTTGTTGAATCATCGATGAAGTTGACATAATATAATGAGCCTACAAGAGATGGAACTGGAGATGGTCTCCATACATCAGTATGAACCAATTCTAACATTTTTGCCTTGGGTGTCTTGCCAATCTTTGCAAAACTGACTTTCTTTTGTTTGCCAAAGATGCAATCCTCGCATAGTCCGACATCTACATTCTTTAGATCCGGCAGCTTCCCTTTTGACAAAAATGTCTTCATCCCTTTCTCGCTCATATGGCCAAGTCTTTGGTGCCATAAGTTTGATTTTCCATCAGCATCTGATACTGCAATGATATTCTCTAAATTTGAGGTTACATAAAGAGTATCAGTCTTCTTACCATGAGCAATGACGAGTGCTCCTTTGGTAATCTTCCATTCACAGCCTGAAAAGGTTGTACTGTATCCTTCTCCATCAAGCTGTCCAACAGAAATCAGATTTCTTTTGAGGCCAGGAATATGTCTCACTCCTGTCAGCTTCCAGGTGGTCTGGTTTGGCAACTTTAGTCGGATGTCTCCTTTTCCGACGATCTTCAAGGTTTCATCATCAGCTAGATGAACCTTCCCAAAATCACCACTGACATAGTTCTCCATGATTTCTTGGCACGGGTGGAGTGGAAAGATGCTCCTGAATCGCTCCTGAATCCAAGATCCATGATTCAATCAGACTGTTGACACTTAGAATCATGGCATCACCTGTCTCCTCTGTCATGTTGGCAGATTCTTGTGCGCCGGTATTTTTTTTCAGTGCTCGGCAATCTCTTTTGAAGTGACCCTTCTTACCGCAATTATAACAGGTAAAATCTTTATTTCCTATTCTTGATTTTCCTTTTATGGATTTCGATCTGCCACGATTTGAATTTCTTTCTGAAGTTCTCCCTCTAGACTCCGTGTGCAAGGCTGAGGAGGTTGATGCTTCACCCGATTCTCTCCGTCGAATTTTTTCACTCAATACCAGGTCTCGAACATCGTCGAATTTTAATTTGTTATTTCCCGAAGAACTGCTGACTGCTGTAACAGTAGCATTTCAACTGTCTGGTAGATATGATAAGAGAATTAAAGCTCGAACTTCATCATCGAATTCAATTTCCACTAAACTCAACTGGGTTGTGATTGTGTTGAGTTCATTTAGGTGTTGTGCCACCGATGCCCCTTCCGTCATCCGCAAATTGAATAATCGCCTCATCAAATGAACTTTGTTTGAGGCTGATGGCTTCTCATACATACTGGAGAGAGCCGCCATAAGACCCGCCGTGGTCTTTTCATTTGCTATGTTGAAAGCAACATTTCGGGACAACGTCAGTCGGATGACTCCGAGGGCTTGTAGGTCGAGAAGAGCCCAGTCTTCATTCTTCATGTCCTCTGGTTGCTTTCCTGAGAGAGGTTGATAAAGATTTTTCTGGTACAGAAAATCTTCAATCTGCATCTTCCAAAAGCCAAAGTTCGCACCATCGAACTTTTCAATTTTCACATTCCCTTCGTCTGCAGCCATCGCTTCCACTCGAATCTGGCTTCTTTTGGATCGTTTCTGACAATTCTTGCGAACCACCGTGTATTAGAACACCACCGTCGACAAACTCGTATCGCCGACCGAATTTCACTATTCACGAAATTCACTATTCACATGAATAGTAATGAATAGTAACCTCGCAGAAAAATTGACAAAATTCACAACCAAAAGCTCTGATTACCAGTTGTTAGGAAATAAACCGAGTACAAATAATTTCTCTATAACAAGATTAGTGAGAATACGAAATAAAAGCGGAAAAATAATACCCGAAAATTGATAACGGAGTTCAACCAATTGTGCTTACGTCTCCGGTTGCTGCAGATCTTTTACTAAGAGAGAAAATTTACAGGTGTTTACAAAACACTCACTACTCACAAGAAAACTCTCTAGTATAGGAAGAAAGAAATGTTTTGGGATGATTTTGAAGCTAAATGAGCTAGGGTATTTATAGTTAAAACTTAGGACTAAACTTGTAATTAACCCTAAAGTGCAAAGGAACTAAAAACCACATTCCCCATTTTGTTTTAGCAGCCCAACTTGTTCTTTTTTTTTAATTTTCAACAAAATATACCTCGAGAATGCCTATGATAAGCTTGAGTGGTCCTTTGTGGACACGATCATCAACATTGGCTTACTCACAATCCTCAGGAAAGTTATTATGAATTGTATTAGCACTACGAGCACTCAAATCATCTGGAATGAGGAGCTCACCAAACCCTTCAAACCCACTAGGGGTCTCCGGTGACCCTATTTCACCTTACCTCTTCGTTCTTTGTCTCGAGAGGCTGGCTCAAGCGATTTCGACTGAAGTGATTAACGGAAATTGGAAACCTATCAAGCCTTCGAGATCCGATCCAGCTATATCTCATCTTATTTTTACTGACGACCTGGTCCTTTTTGTGGAAGCGGATTGGTCTCAAGTCAATGTTATAAAAGATGTTCTTTCTTGGCAAATTCTGTAATTGTTCAGGTCAGAAGGTTAGCCTTCACAGGACGAGTATCTTCTTTTCAAGTAACGTCCCATCCCATACTAAGGACGCGTTAGCTAAGGAGTTAAGTATTCATAAGGTCAAAGATCTTGGCACCTATCTTGGTGCGTGTCTCGAAGAGCACCTACAACCATATTGTCCAAAAAGTTAAAAATCGGCTCTCGGGTTGAAAGGCGAAATCCTTATCATTGGCAGGGAGAATCACCCTTGCCAAATCAGCTCTGCCGACTATCCCTTATTACACCATGCAGTCAACTCTTCTGCCTAAAGGAACTTGCAATGAGTTGGAAAGGACGATTCGGAATTTTTTCTGGGGACAGACTAGTGAAAGAAGAGGAGTCCACTTAGTAAATTGGGATATCCTTTGCAACCGGTTAAAGGGGGTGGGCAAGGGTTGAAGCATCTGAGAATGCAGAATGAAGCTTTTCTTTTTAAACTTGCCTATAAATTTATTAATAATCTCGACCTTTTATGGATGCAGGTTTTACGAAGCAAGTACAAAGTAAAGGAGAGAATCCCTGAAACTCTTCCGCACCGGTCAGGTTCGCAGCTTTGGAGAAGCATCAGCTCTTTATGGAGCAACTTTAGAAGCAACCTAAGCTGGAATATTGGTGACGGTAGAGACGCTGAGTTCTGGAGGGACGACTGGCTGAGTGGCGTAGGACAACAACTCTTCCTGATAGTCAGAACAACAACTGTAAAGTCAATGCAGAACAACAACCGTAAAGTCAGAAACTTGGTCACATCACGAGGAACTTGGAATTGGGACAAATTAACACCATTACTTCCTGATAGTATTCTTCGAAGACTTGAAGCAACTCCACCTCCTCTGGCTGATAACCTGGCTGACTCTCCGGGCTGGTCAGCCTCCGAGCAGCGCACTTTCACCCTAAGATCTGCCTACAAAATCATTGCCAACACGGACAACATACAGGAGGATAAAATCTGGGAGATCATAGCAAAACATAACAATATTCCAAGGATCAGAACTCTTCTATGGCTCATCAGAAGAGAGAGTTTACTTACCAACTCAGAACGTGCCCGACGAAACATGACTATGGAAGAGAGCTGCCCCATGTGTGGGGGCGTACACGGTCTGGATGGAACTGATCAACCCTACAAGGCTACAAGACTTCTTAAACAGCAGCATGAAAAACTGGATTATGGATAATTTGAGGTGTATAGACTCCCCATCAAGTAAGAAACCGGTCAACTTTTTTCATTTCAGCAGTGTGGGCTATCTGGAACAAGAGGAACAATTTTATCTTCAACCCTGAGATGGTAGAGAGAAAACCCATTATTGACAAAGCCTTTCGGATGTCAGTGGACGTAGAGACCACGAGATCTAGTCGGAATAACCAAGCAACAAAACCTCAGAAGAATCCTCTAAGATGGAAGAGACCTGAACCTCAATGGTGCAAAAACAATACGAATGGCTCAAGATAGATTGATACCGGGGAGGCAGCATGCGGAGGGTTAGCACGAAACCATAACGGAGATTAGATGTGGGGTTTCACAAGGAAGGTGGGGATATGCTCCACTCTAGAAGTTGAACTGTGGGGAATTCGTGAAGGGCTACAGATGGTCTGGGGGAAAGGGGAAAGAAAGGTGGTGGTAGAGTCTGATAACAAGGAAGCCGTTAACCTGATTAGAGAAACCTTTGGAGAGAAGGAAGCTAACCATCTTGCAACACTTTGAGGTACTTTTTAAGAACTGGACGGTTGTACTCGCACACATTCCGAGAGAGGCTAATAAGGCTGCCGATACTATTACTAAACATGCATGGTCAACACAGATAAGGAACCAAGATCTGAACCCACCCACAGGCCACAACGGTAGTGGACAGGCTTAGATTGGACAAAAATGTCTAGGATGGCTGAGTTGTAACCCCGTTCTCCAAAAAAAAAGTAATATCGAAGTTATTTAAAATTTAAGATTAAAGTTATTAAACCAAAAGATATCTAATTCAAAATGAATTAATATGAATTTTTACTTCATATAAATCTATATTATGTTAGAGCCATTACATTTATGGAGAATTTACATGAACAATGTGACTCTTTTAGGTTGTGTAGTTTAATCATATATAAACTTGATTCGAGAAGGCCAGTACTCTTTTTCAAGTGAAAGGTACAAGACATACTCTGTTAAATCAGCATCCCAATAATAAAAATATGACGAATGAAAAACCACAAGCAAGCTAAACGAAAGAGTCAAGGATAGCCATTCCAAATGATGAGCAAGTCAAAAAACAAGCTACTAGAGAAGAGGGCTATGATTAGTCAACAACCATTCATGTTTATAAATATCATTAACAAAACCCCAAAAAATGTCCGAAACAGGTCTACTTCGAAAACAACTTCAATATGTCTTAAGTTGGCTAAATCCAAAAGCCTACGCAAAATAATGATTCAAAGGTGGTTCTTTCTCAACAGAAGAACATAGAGCTGCTAACGTTTTCCTTCAATCTAGGAAGCTGAGGGACGGCAATGGCTCCAGGAGCAGTAACACCACCATGACTCGACGATGTCTCAGAAGCATCCTCAAACTTCATAAATTGTCCCAACTGTGAAGCCGCCAAGTGGGCGTAGCAAATAGGAGCAACTGCACCGATAGGAAGTACAATGTAAGATTAGAAACAACCACATATAAGAAACGAAATTAAAAGAACCACCAAATGAAAGAAAAATAGGGGTAGAAACTCGAGAATATACTCACCGACAGAGATGGCGGTGTGCTCCTTTGATACCTGCAATTAGGGGTGCACAAAAAATCCGAATATCCGAAAAAAATATCCGAAACCGGTTTTGGGAAAAACCGATTTTTTTTTAACCGGATCGGATTTTTTTAAACCGGTTATTTTAACCGGTTTGGAGAAAAAAACCTAGACCGATTTTTTTACCGGATAAAAAACCGGTTTGAAAAAAACCGGTTAAAAAACCGGTTTTTATCCGGAAAAAAAAACCGGTCTGGGTTTAAAAAACTAGCCGTTAATATAGCCGTTTGTGACCGTTTTTGACCGTTTTTTTCTTTAAAAAATTACCATTTTACCACCCTAAACATGTATAAATAGGTTGGGGATGTATTTGGTTGATTACAACTTTCTCAAATCTTATTACACAACACTTAAACATCTCTCAAATCTTAGTTTTGTAATTTTTTATTCATCATGAGTAACACTGCTGAATCTTCCGTCGGGGGAAACCTTGAAGTCGTGAGAGTGATCGAACACACTCGAAACAAAGATATTTGGGATCACTACGATTTATGTGAGATGTCAAATGGCTCGAGGAGGGCGCGTTGTAAACTTTGTCTAAAGTTTCTTGCATCGGAAGGAAACACAACGTTGAAGAACCATTTGACAAAATCATGCAAGGCACTTCGCTCAAGATCGGATCCTAGTCAATCGAATCTTACACCGCAAGGTGGTGTTTTTGTTTACGACAACGAAAAATTACGAGAAGCGTTTACAAAGTTCGTGATTACAAAAGCATTGCCGTTCGACCACTTTGATGATGAAGATTTCACGACAACAATTCAACAACTAATGCAACCACGTTATACTCAAGTAAGTCGTATTACCCTTAGAAGAGATGCTATAAAAATGTGGCGTACGGCGAGGGAAAAAATGATTTTAGGATTCCAAGAACACCGTTATGGTGTGTCGCTTACATGTGACGTTTAGAGTTCCCCTCATAATACCGGAAATTCTTTTTTAGCCTTTACGTCACATTGGTTAGATCAAGATAATTGGCAAATGATGAAAAGAACAATCGCGTTTGAATTATTCGGTGAGCCGCATACCGGTGCTAATTTATTTACACTTTTAAAACGGGTAATTTGTCTTTATAAATTAGAAAATAAAGTTTTTTCTATATCTTTTGATAATGCATCGAATAATACAAACGCGATTCCAAGATTGAAAATATTACTTTCACCGATTTTAGACGGTGCGTTTTTTCATACCCGTTGCGTTGCACACATAATTAATTTATCCGTGCAAGCCGGTTTGGAGGTTATTGAGCCAATTAGATTAGAATTTAAAACAATGATAAAATCGATTCTTTGTAACAACAACAAAAGACTAAATGATTATAAACGATTTTGTAAGTCTGTTAATAAAAAAGCTTTGGGTCCTAATTTGGATTGTCCAACTCGTTGGAACTCAACTTGGATGATGATGCATACTGCCTTAAGGCAAAGGGAAACATTGCAAACATTTCACGATCGGCTTTTCGAGAGGGGTCATGTCCCAGACATTTATCCGGATTCGAGTTGGGAAACTATAGCCAAAATAACCGATTTGCTTGAGGTTTTTAAAAATGCAACAACTTTTTTATCCGGTGTTTATTACCCTACTAGCCCGTTGGTTCTTAATCAAATATTTTTGTTGGCTACCCGACTAAATGACTTTGAATTTGAAACCGAAGTTTTTCAAGAAATTGGCTTTGCAATGAAGGAAAAACTTTTAAAATATTTTAAGGAGATTCCCCCCATTTTTACTTGTACCGCCGCTTTAAACCCAACGTTAAATGTTGGTGGGGTTGAAACACTAATTGAACAAATTGCGTTTGCTTTTAATCTAACCGATGATGAACCCAACTTTGTCCAAAACCAAATAAATTATTTTAACAAATGTTTTCGAGACATGTTTGCAATTTATTTAAATAAATACGGATCAAGTAGTGTAATACACGATCAAATGAGAATGAATGCGGAATCATCTAGTAGACATCCAAGTAACATAAATTTGAATCTTTTTAACACTCTTGTAAATTCCCAATCCAAACGATCACGTACTACCACCCCAAGTAACGAGTTGGGAAATTATATGTCATGCGATTTTCTATCAAAAATGACATTTGAAGAGTTTGAAAGTTTGGATATTTTGGCTTGGTGGAAAGAAAAGGAAGCACAATTTCCGATTCTAGCCGCCATGGCCCGTGATTTACTAACCGTCCAAGCTTCTACGGTAGCTTCGGAATCCGCTTTTTCTGTTAGTGGCAGGGTTATATCGCAACGGAGATCAAGACTAAGTCCCGAGTCGGTGGAAGTATGCATTTGTTTAAAGGATTATTTGGATGGAGCGGCTCGTAAGCAACATATCACCACCCTAGAAGATGCAATTGATGCCGATTTGGAAGCAAACTTACACATTGAAGAAGTCGAACTTAGAATATCCCCTCCAAACGAAGAAGGCGAAGATGATGAAGAAGAGATGGCAATGTAGTTTATTTTATAACTTTATTTCAATTATCGTAAACTTTGTTTCAATTATCGAACTTGAAGTTTTTAAGTATTTGAATTTATCGAACTTGGAAGTTTTTAAGTATTTGAATTTATCAAACTTGGAAGTATTTAAGTATTTCAATTATGTTGAATTAATTAAGTATTTCAATTAAGTATTTGAATTTATCGAACTTGAGGTTTGATGCTTTCTCTTTGATTCTCTCTTGATTCTAGTTGCTTGATGTTTCTTGTCTTTGATCAATGACTTCTAAGCTTGCTTAAATACACCTTGAATCACTTCTGAACGTTAGTGATAATTAATGAAGATAATATAGCCGTTTAAGTGTGAAAACATTTAATAAAAATGCTTAGAGCGTGGGGGAATCAGTACCCTCTCATAGGGAATCGATTCCCTAAGTGTAAAATTCAAATATTTCGACCGTTGAATAAGGGGGAATCGGTACCCCTATGGGGGAATCGGTTCCCTCCGAGCATTCTGGAAATCTCGGAGCCAAACCATTCAGTGAGGAATCGGTACCCCCTTGGGGGGAATCGGTTCCCTATGAGCAATCTGGAATATTAAAATCGGTTTTTTTATAACCGGTTTTTTAAAAAAACCGGTTTTTTTAAAACCGAAACCGGTTACACCGGTTAGGATATCCGGCCCTCCAAACCGGTTAGAAACCGAACCGGTTATTTTATAAACCGGTTTTTTTTCTACGGGAAAAAACCGGATCGGATAAAAACCGATCCGGATCGGATTGAAATCCGAATTATGTGCAACCCTACCTGCAATGGTCCCAAAATACAAGTGCAACACTGAACACAACTTAATCATTTGTAATGTGAAATAGCGTGAATATACACTTACACATACGACAAAGAATGGACAAGTTCCTGCAGATCATCAGCTGAAAAGCCAACCTGATCCAAGAGAACATG